CTTAATAAACTCCCCTTTATACATACATCTAAGAACCCTGACGAATATGCATGGCAATGATGAATTAAGGTGGCAGATGGCATTAAGATTGCTATTCAGACGACATTAAAATAGAGAAATTATCATGGATTATCCAATGGGCTCAATATAATCACAAGAGTCCTTAAAAGCAGAAGAGGGAAGAAGAGTCAGTAAAAGTTATGTGATAATGGAAGCAGTATCAGAAAGATGAAATATCTTGCATGTTGGAAGACAGAGGCTGTGAACCAAGGAATGAAGATGGCTTCATAACTGGAAAAGGCAAGAAAGCATATTATCACATAGAACTTTCAGCAAATAATAAAGGCATCGTGACACCCACCCTGATTTTAGCTAAAAATGAGACCTGTGTCAGACTTGTGTCCTATAGAACTATAAAATAATATTTGTATTGTTGAACCCAACAGTAATTAATCTAATTAGTAAGTAATCACATATATATAAAATATACATAAAACATGGGACTTTGAAATACACCAAACTCATTAGGATGTCACAATGAAAGAGAAATATTTGTATTGTTGAAGCCAACAGTAAGTAATCTAATTAGTAAGTAATCCCATATATATGTAATTACTTACTATATATATCATAGTAAGTAATCATATAATATATATGATTACTTACCATATATATTTTAATCATATAATCACATACATGATTACTCACTAATTACTACATATGATTACATACTTACATATATATGATTCCCACATTTAAGCAGAGATACATAATTAATCATATGAATTGAATTATGTACCTTTGCTTAAATGTGGGAATTTTTCATGTACACAGGCGATTTTTAATCATATGACTATGATTTAGACAGTCATCAGTAAAATCCTTTTGCTACTAAAAACACATAGGAATAAACAGATTACTATCTCAGCTCTTAGTTACAGCTCAAAATGCACCTTTAACCAAGTTACCAAACCTTTTTTTCTTTGGAATTTTCAGATGAGGTCTGTAATCCTACTAGCACATATCATTCATCATGGCTAAATTTATAAATTATGAGATTTAAGTGCAGAAATAAGATGGTTTCTTCCTCTATGGAAATAATAACAGGATGAAGCAGTAAATAAATGTCTACTAGGTTCCAAGTATTAGGAGCTTTAAAAACATCACATTAAACAAACACTAACAGCATAAATGGATACCAATTTAAAGATGGAAAAACTTGGTCCAAAGAAATTAAGTCACTAAATTTCATGTAGACAGTAAATGTTTGTTAGAGCCTAGATTCTACATTAGGCACTTTGATTCTGAGCTTGTGCACTTCACCACTGTCTAATCAGCTCGACTGTACATCCCCTCATATAATGAGCCGCTTATGTAGCAGTGGTTAAGAAGAAGCTTGGTTTTAACAGAAAAAAGCCTTTCACAGTGAATAAAAAATAGGCATTCTAAAACATCTGGAAGTAGATCAATAGTAAAATAAGAAAAGCAAAAATGTTTAAAGATTAAGAAATATTTCATATCAAAGTAATTTGAGTCTTTCTACATTTTTAGTTTCCACTGTAGCAAGAAAAAATAATTATGCTGAGATAAATCATTTATTTGTTTCAAAATCTGCTAAAGCCATCCTTCATATAAGCAATTATTTATTTCTGTTTCACAGAGCAGTAGCATGATGTTAAGACAGTTGTTTATAAAATATGCACTATTTTTAAATTGGAATGATGGGAACAAAGACGGGTGTAAACACATTTTTTGAAGAAAAATGAAAACATCTAATTTGGAACACTTAAAACTCAATAAAAATTTCTTTTTTGTAATGTCAGGTTCTAGGAGCAAACTTTGTAATAATTAAAAAGTAGAAAATATACCTAAGTGTTCATCAACAGAGGAATATATGTATGAAAAATTAAAATATGTTGGAGTCATACACTGGAATGTCATACAGCAATTAAAATGATGAGCTAGAGCTGTATGTTCCAACATGGATAGATCTTTAAAATATGAAATTTTGTTTAAACAAAACCAAAATTAGAGAAAGAGTCATATAGCAAAATACCATTTATAAAAATTAAAACATGTAAAATAAAATTACATTGTTCATGCATACATGTGTAGAAAGTTAATATATAAAACACAGGACTTCAAAACACATCAAACTCATTGGGACGTCACAATGAAAGAGTTAGAAAATTCCAAAGCAAATGTTTAGTTCATTTTAAAAAAATATCTGAAGCAACATATAACGTGTTAAACTGTGGTGGGATCATGGATACTATCTTTTCAGTACTTTACAATAGTTACAAAAATATTTTTAAAATTCAATTATTTGAAAATGTCTGACCAAATGCAGTTGGAATGAACCATTCAAAAAATGATTTCAATTTATCATAATATCAAAACAACCCACTTCCAATGTTTATAATAATCATATAGTTTTGCTAAAAATAAATGGGATTAAAACCTCTGAAAATTTCAAGATAAACAGGTAATGTTGACATTCTACAGAATGTAATTCAGGGATAAAACAGATTACAAACTCTTATGAGCTTAATGCTGGGTTTAACTTCATAAATTCTATTTGTTCTAAGAATCTACCCACCTGGCAGCTTGATGTCTCTATCTATGGCTCTGTTTGATTTTGGGGGCTCTACGGGTAAGGATACAGAACAATAACAGAACAGTAAGCTTCAGTGTATGCAGCAGTTGAAATAATTAAATTCCTCAGACCTTGTTGATCACTAAGGATAATCATAAACTCTGAGTCACCACCCAAATACATAGATTTGTGTGGCTGGCAATTTTTTTTATCCATCTCTACGTAAACAAGGACAGCTACTGTTATGTCTAAGCTCAGGGCATGAACTCTTCACACAGGTTGGGCCCATTCTTTTCAACATTTGTTTTTTTTTTTTTAGTGAAGTTATCACAGAAGATATAAATCTACCCTAAGTTAAACAAACATGGAAAATAAGTATCAATACCATCATGGGAATAAATGAAACTATGTAATAGGATATGAGTGGGGTAGTTGATCTTCAGCAACTTTTTTTCACCATCTAGAGCAGAAAGTGTCAGAATCACTGATCTCTACTAGAGAGTTTGACAAAATTCAATTTGATATGGTAATTATTGTCAGATCATCTGTAATATGCCCAGAATTGTGTTGGGAATACTGGGAGAAGTTTAAAAGATGCAAAATTCTCTTATAAACATCCTGAAAATAGCAAGTAGTTTTAAGATAAGTAATGATTAGATGGAATCCTGAAACTTTGCCCAGAAGTTGTCTGTGTGGCCCTCAAAATCTCTTGGGCTCCATAAAATTAGTAAAGTTGTGTTTTTATTCAAAAACATTAAAATCAAGATATTCACTATTTTTATGAGCTTAGCAAGAGCTTTAAATTATATTTTTAATGTGAATTTACTCGATTTCATATTTGTAATTTCAGTTTTCTTCCTCATCTATTTTGCAGAATCTGGAAGTATTTGCTTTTCATCTAAAATCTTTTAATTCTCTCTCTGGGAATAAATATCACTTTTATTATATTCAACTTTTATTATCTTTATATTCATATTTTCTGATTGAGATTTTTGTAACCATGTCAATAAAATCAATGGCCTCTATTACTACTTTACATTTTTTTCAATATGATTCTAAATTATCTAAAACATGAAATTAATTAAATAGCTGTACAATAACGCCCAGAATAAAGCCAAAGTCTGATAAAGTAAGATATTTTCGTGCTTTTCTTTGCTGTTAATTTTGGAGATGTCTATCTTATCAATGTATTTATTCATAGATTTGATAAATATAAAGTGCTTATTATGTGCTAGACATTTTTATAAGTTTGGGGATATAATGATGAGCCTAACCAGACACAGTCCCTGCCAACATATGGGGCATAATATCTAATAGGAGAGATTTCTATCAGACACAAAATCAGAATGAGTTCAGGAGGCAAAAATATGTAGTGTTGTCAAAGACAAAATAATTTAACATTTAAGACAAAAATAATTTAACATTTACTCTGTACCTAATACAACAGAGCATCAAAGTCCAAAATGCTCCAAAATCTGTACTTTTTGAGAACCAACATGACACTCAAAAGAAATGCTCTTCGGAACATATTGGATTTCAGATTTTCAGACTTGGGATACTCACCATGTAATATAATGCACAAATATTCCAAATGTCAAAAAATTTCAAACTGTAAAACACTTGTGGTCCCAAGCATTTTGGATAAGGGATCATGTATGTATGTGTGTGTGTATACTTAGAGTCTTCATTCAAAAAATAAAAACAGTCCAGCAACCTCTTCTATCATATTTCTTTGATTTTTATAAACAATGGGGAACATTTTGAAAATACTGGGATTTCTATTATAATGCAGATCCTCAAGAACATTTGCTCTCCTGTATTTTAAACAGGTATACTTAAGAAGGGCAGCGATAGCCCTACTGGGTGGCTCATGCCTGTAATTTCAGCACTTTAGGAGGCAGAGGCAGGTGGATGAAGGTCAAGCGATCAAGACCATCCTGGCCAAGGTGGTGAAACTCCGTCTCTACTAAAAATATAAAAATTAGCTGTGGTGGTGCGTGCCTGTAGTCCCAGCTACTCGGGAAGCTGAGGCAGAAGAAGCGCTTGACCCCAAGAAATGGAGGTTGCAGTGAGCCAAGATTGCGCCCCTGCGCCACTGCACCCCAGCCTGGCGACAGAGCAAGACTCTGTCTCAAAAATAAATAAATAAATAAAAATAAAAGGACAGAGACTGTGGGAAATGACAAACTTATATTTACCTGTCAGTTATGTCAGATTTTTCATGCACTCTCACAGGATGCAAATAAAATTTGTGTCACAATCACCATCTTTCAGGTTTGGGCGGTTCTTCTCATAATATCTTGGAGAATGACAGGATCAAGATAAAGAACAGGGTCTCACAGAGGACAGCACTGCAGTCCAAAACAAAGCCAAGACAGGCAGGAGGAGGCCAGAGAACACTTACTGGTAAGTGGTTGGGCTGACATTGATGCGCCGAGGGTGACTTCCTGACTCGAATTTGCTTGCCAGCGTGACATTATTTCCAAACAGGCAATAACGTGGCATTCGGACCCCAACAACTCCAGCCAACACGGAGCCTGAGTGAATTCCTATTCTCATCTGAAGAAAAATGAAGGAAAAAAAGAACGCATTTGTTTCCATTTGGTATGCTATTATTTTAATGAAAGGGACTGCTAATTATTAAAAAATTAAACTATGAGCTCCTCAAAGACAGGAACTGAGTCTTAGTCATTTTTGTGAGCCTGGTAGCTGGACTATTATAGTGCTCAGTGAACATATATGCTATGGAATAAACAAATGGATTAAGCATATGAAAAAATTTATGTTTAATTTCTACATGAATCTGGTCCAGTTACAGGTTAACTCAGGTTTCATCTGTACATAATAAAGTCTAACTTAAAAAGCGTATTTTTCTCCACTTTCTCCCTCCAGTTATTCTTACATAAAACCTTATTTGTTCCTTTCATAGCAGCAAACATAATTGTAAATTAAATATTTATTTCTATTTTGTTTAAATGTATTTTCCCAATACAGAAAGATATATATATATATATCTCAATATATATATACATATCTATCTATATATATATAGATATATGTGATATCTATTTATTTACTGCTAAATATTCAACATTTAGCATAGTACCTAGAGCAAAGCAGGTATTTGACATTAAGTGATAAATGTTGAATAAATTGGCTGAATTCCCCAACATATTATTAAAATGGAGGTAAAATAGAGAATTCAACCCTTGAGACAGTCAATAGGTATTGATTAAAAATTCTGAATGGTAAATTAAGTGCTGTATATTTACTCTCTGAGAACCTGATACAGAGCAGTCTGTCTGGTCCATGCCTTGGAAAAACCCTCAATTTACAGTTGATATACAATTAAACATGATCACAGAAATGGAGTTATACTGACACAATCTACACCAAAATAACTGAAGCTAATGAATAACAAGTGGGAGATGATATCCTTAGAAGAACGTAGAGTGTTCCCTGGAGGGAAGAAACCTGACCCCTGGATGGCTACCAAGTAGCCAAACTATCACCCTTTCACCACCAGGCTCTCTTTGCCACTCTGGTTGTAAGGATAAAAGTCACTCTGAGAACAGCCTTTGTCTTGGGGCTGGCTATTTCTGCATATATCAACTCATAAAAAGATAGATAGGTGGAAACTAAGGTGACCTAGCTGCATCTCCTGATAACCCTGTCACCTTCTCTTGAAAAACTGACTCTCAAATTTATTTGGAACTTTAGTATGGTAGAAAGAATCAAGATATATTTGAGAAAGATGACAAGTTAGAGTATTTGCCCTAGCAGATATCAAATGCTAGTATAAGCATATCTAATTAGTGCATGGATACCATCATATAAACAAATAGACTAATGGAACATTTAATACAGAAAGGCTGCCATGCATATGTAAATGCGAGATTTATAAAAGAGTTGGCATTTCAGGTAAGTGAGAAAAAGATCTTGATGTAACAGACATAACTTTACTGCTTTAAAAATGATTACTTAAGAAACAATTGTTGTTTCAGTAAAACTACAAAACATACCTTAAAAACACAGACTTTTATTTGTCTAGCAATAATACTTCCTAGGTGGGTCATCATCCAGATTGCCAGGCCGTTCTGTTCCCCTCAGTAATTCAGAGACCTGATCTTGTTCACTGGTCCTCCTCCATGTCTTGGTACATATCCAGAGCATCCTCATGTTCCAACTCATGGGATGTGGAAAGATAGCAAATTTATCATTTAAAGTCATCTTCATTTATTTCTGTAGATTCAGATTTGGATCTGGCATCATTTTTCTTCTTCCTACAGGACTTCTTAAATATTTCTTATATTGTAGGCTGATAATAAATTCCCTTTTTTTTATGCTTCAGAAAGTCTTAATTTTGTCTTCGTATGAGCAAGATATTTTCACTGTATACAGAATTCTAGGTTGAAACAGTTTCTTTCCCCCAGTAGTTTAAAGATGCTGCTCCACTGGCTCCCCTCTTGCAATATTTTGGATACAAAATCTGCTAGCATCTTTATCTTAATTCTTCTATATATAACATATCTTTTTCTTCTGGTTGCTTTTAAGCTTTTCTTTTATCATCAGTTTTAGGTAATTTATGATTTCCCTTGATTTTTTTTTTTTTCTGTTTCTTGTGTTTTGGGTTTGTTGAGCTGTTGGATCTGTAGGTTTATAGTTTTTATCAAATTTATAAGTTTTCTAGCCATTATTTCTTTGAATACTTTTTTATTGAGAGGGAATTTTGCTCTTGTTGCCCAGGCTGGAGTGCAGTGGCACTGTCTTGGCTCACTGCAACCTCTGCCTCCCAGGTTCAAGCCATTCTCCTGTCTCAGCCTCCCGAGTAGCTTGAATTACAGGCATGCACCACCACACCCGGTTAATTTTGTATTTTTAGTAGAGATGAGGTTTCTCCGTGTTAGGCTGGTCTTGAACTCCTGACCTCAGGTGATCTGCCTGCCTTGGCCTCCCAAAGTGCTGGGATTACAGGCATGAGCCACTGTACCCGGCCTCTTTGAATACTTTTTTTCTGTCTGTCTCTCCCTCTCAGAGATTCCAATTACGCATATGTTAAGAGCTTAAATTATTTCTAAAGTCCACTGATGATCTATTCAAATAATTTTGTCCATTTATCTGAGATAATTTCTATTGCTATGTCTTCAAATTTATATTTTCTTTTGCAGTGTCTAATCTGTTAATCACATTCAAGATAATTTTCATCTCAGTCATTGTAATTTTCCTCTACAGAAGTTCAACTTGGGATTAAAAAAATTTTTCTAGGTATCAATTTAACTTTTGAACATATGGAATACAGTTTAAAAAATCATGGTTTTAATGCCCTTGTCTGGTAATTCTAACATCTGTTTCAGCTCTGCATCTATCCATTTGGATTCATTTTTCTCTTCATTATCAGCACTATGTCTCAGATTTTCTTTATGTGTAGTAATTTTTGATTGGATGCCAGATATCATAAATTTGACTTCTTGAGTGTTGGATATTTTTATAATCTCATAAATATTATTGAGCTTTGTTCTGGGATTCAGTTAAATGACTGAAAAACAATTTGTTCCTTTCAAGTCTTGCTTTTAAGATTTGTTAGGCAAGACTGGAACAGTGTTTCATGGAGGGCTAATTATTCTCCCTTCTAAGGCAAGAACCTTGGGTACTCTCCCCAGTGTCCTTGATTTATGAGGTTTTCCAGTCTGCCTGATGGAAACAGGCATTTTTTCCCCAAATCCTGTATAAGTGTCAGGTGCTTTTTTTTCATCTAATCTTTTTGGGTGTCTCCCTCACACCCAGGGCTCAGGTAGTTTCCTCACATATGTGCATTAATCACTACTCTGCAGACTATATAATGAGGATCCTTGGAAGATCTCAGGGGGTCTTTTTTAAACTCTCACCTCTCTTTAGCCTCCTTGCTCTCCCAAGACTCTCAGCCCCATCTTTTTAACTCAAGATGTTTGTTGGTTATCTCCTGGTTTGCCCCTCCCAGAGCCACAGCATGGATGCCTCTCAAGGCAGTTAGCTAGGGCAATCACAGGGCTCACTTAATTTGTTTCTTATCTCTCAGGAATCACTGTCTCCCATTGTCTAATGTACACTGTCATGAAAACTGTTCTTTTATATACTTTGTCCCAATTTTTAAAAGATTTTTAAAGATAGGAGTACAAATCTATTCATTGTATTCCATATTGGCTGAAGGTAGACATGAGAGACTTTTTTTTTTTTTTTTTTTAAGTAAACTGAAAACTCAAGCCTGTTCTGATGAGGGATTCTCTTTTTGGACTTAGAGCAGAACATGCTGAGTAACACTATTCCTCTTAAAGCGACTATAAAGCTTTCTCTAAAATAGCAAAGCACACGGCAATATTACTATGTTTTTTTGGGTTTGTTTACTTTCAGAAGATTTATGTTGTTATCGTGTGCAATGCATGCTTGTTTGAAGTACACCCAAACCTTAGATGCTGACTGTCAGTTTGAGATTCTGATTACTATTGTGATCTTTTCAAGCAGGAGGAGAGCAGAAATCAGTATTACATCGACACATTTTACAGCCTCTTTTTTCTCTACTTTCTGTTAAAAAAAAAAAAAAGACGACTCCATACACCATGTCAACTATTTGAAAGGCTTATCTAGTTCTATTTCTGCCTCCTTTCAAAAGACCTGAGGATTTCTTTTCAACCTAATTTTTAGAATAATTTATTATAACCTGAAAAATGCTGAAGATAAAACTCTGATATCCTTGAAGGGTTGATAGAGAAAAACAGGGAGGGTCATAGAGAGGAATAGTCATTAACTTAAAAAAAAAAAGTCATCTCTCAGAAAACTATCTAAAAGAGGCACAAGAGTATCAACACCCACAAAAACAGCACTGACTCACTGTCACTGTCACTATCCTATCACAGAACCCGACTCAGATTTAGTTTGGGAAGTAAGGCAATACCACTGGGAAACTTACAAGCTGAATCAGCAGACTGTTTTGTTTTGCATTTTTTTTGACAATTTATTGAGATTTCCCAGGAATTGTTGCCTATATAAGGAAGTCACTGATTGCCCCATTCAGAATGTGCCAAGAGTAGCAGTAAGACAAACAGTGAGATACAGTTAACTATCAATGAGGGCTTTACATTCATTTCAGCAAGATTTAACTTTGTTTAAATGGGTTAACTACGCAGTAACACTTGCATCTTTCTGGCCAGTATGCTCTAGTTAAAGAGGATTACTTTGCAGTAAACCAGTGGTTCTCACCTGGGGCCATTTGAGCCCCTCAGTGGACATTTGGCAATGTCTGGAAGCATTTTTGTTTTTCGTAACTGGGAGGGAGCGCTACTACTGGCATCTGTCTGGGTAGAGTTAGAAGTTCCTAGAACAGCTCCCCAGCCCTGGAAAAGAATTTTCTAGCCTCAAATATCAATAGTGCCAAGTGTGAGAAACTCTGTACTCAATAGACCTCTAGCAACCTATTAATCTTAGTAAACCAGGATAAACAAAAATATAAATGCTTTCATCTGATCAAAGTTTTGACAAGGCATACTAGACTTTACTTATAAGAGAATGCTCATGGAAAAAAAAAT